TGCATATTGAATATTTACAAAATGGTTATGTCCTCCCGTTTATTTTTAACCACTTCGACCACTGATGAAATATTAGTAGGCATCTTACATTATTGTACACTGCAATGGTGACTGCAGCAGCGTGGGTTATCACATTTTATGCCGAGAAGCACGCCGCACACACATTATGAGTTCACCGAATAGGTCTGAAAGTATAGGTAAGGTAAGGTACTCACTATATTATTATAATTTATAATTAATATTATTCACATATCACATATTATACACCTATAAAGTGCTACCCACCTATTATATCAGCACGTTATAATTTTGTTTTTTTGTATTCACCACTTACAACCAAGCGCTCGTATAATAATATAGTATATACTAGTCACTAGATACCTAAGGTATACGGGGCCTGCCTTTACGGTAGAATGACCGCCATCACATGAATTCAAACCTCATATAATAAAATGAATATAATAATATAACAGCCTTGTAAAGATGTTATTGTTCAGATTCATATTATATACGCGTGCGTACATTTTATAAAATAAACTTCAGTAGCGCCACCTGCAGATAGACACCGCGAACTGGTGAATAATAATTATTATAATGTTTAAAGTTGTTATATAATAGTGAATAGGTAGGTACTGTATATATCATACTTATATAAGTATATAAGTATGTATATTATTTTGTATTTTTGTCTGTGTTGCGGCTATGTAGGTACATGTTATGCCCATCTGCTGCAGTTTATACATATACCTATATATATTTACACACCCCCGTGATTAACCCTTAACCCTTTAATTATGCAACGAGAAGAGTATGTATAATTAGTTAAAAGTCAGTATGTACACTATAAGAGGAATTAGGATTCGCTGCTTTTTAAAGTAGAGCAGCAGCTATATCACAGTTGAAAGGCGGGGAATAACTGGATAAGCCAGGAGAAGTTAAAAGAAGAAAAGTTTGAAACTTAATATTTATTTTAGAGCGGATGAGCTCGTTTATGTAAAAAAAATCCAAACGGGATAGAAAAGCTAGGTCTATATTCATACATCATAATAGTATGTTGCAATGACTCATAAACAATGCTCACCCCTCCCCCTCCCCTCCCCTAACTAATACTATGTTTATGTAAGTCCAGTACTTATTCTACTCAGTCAATTTTCATTTTTTACAAATAATGTTGGAACACATCATACACCTATGAAATTGTATTTGATTCAAATTATTATGGCTACTCCCAAAATCTTTTGAATCTATTATTCTTATTTCTTGGTTAGTATTGTATTAAATACAGTTCAATAACTAAAACTAATCGTTCTAGTTCTTATAATTTCAAATTTTTGATTTATATGTATACCAGCTACTTAAAAAACAATTCACAGTAACAACTGATGGTTTTTGAATGAAAAAAAGAAGTTGGTAATTTGTATCACAGCGAGTAAATAGGACACTCTTCAAAAAATATTTTGACAGATTTAAGCAAACATTTAAACTCCAAAAATCATAATTTGAATAAATTCATTATTTAATTTAATATAGTAGGGAACATGCTTCATGAATCACCCTTCGTTTACATATAATGTATAGGAAATATTTGCAATAAAACGATTTCATACATTATACGTACCTATAACCTTGCGCTTTTATTTTAAAATTTTTTCTCATACATACATTTATTATGTTGTATACCTCTATGGTCTCTTCTGATTCTATTGAGCTACTTAGGTATATCGCTTTATGCACCATCATATGTGGTATAATATTATATTGATTTTGAAGTGTATACAAAAAAATACATGCAATACAATATCAGAGACAAATATTGAAAAATGAATGAGTAGGAGAGGTGAATGGTAAATCATTGCAAAGTATAATATGGAAAATTAATACATATTATGTAATATAAGACTGAAGTGGCGTACTGGCATACAATATGGTATAATTGTGGACATTTTGAAAGTTTAATAAACGAGGGCTATCACTGAGGAGGGGCTCACCAGTGTGATATTTTATATATAAATGTATGGTTATAGGATTTTTTTTTTGGGTGGAAGGGTTGAGGACTGATTTATTTTAAGTAATATCAGTGTCATGGTCAAATGATACCCAAAATGTATTTAATATGTAAAACCGTACCTAATTTAGTCAATCAATTTTTTTTCCAGATTATCTAATTGTTCTAGCACTAACAATGAACAGCCAATAGCCATTTTAGCCAAGCGATTAATATGACTCTAGATTCTAAAACATTGATGCCAAACCATTTTTCCTCGGAGAGCAACTCTAATAAACAATAATCTTCGAGCTGGCCACCAAGTATAAAAGTACGAACTATTTCAATCTTAATCTATTAATACAAGTTTGTTACACATGTAGGTTTATATTGGACTTGTTTTCTAATCTTTTATACTGAGTATTAAAAAGATTAAAAATTGAGGTTAGGTTATATTATTTTACTTTTTTTATTTATTTTGTTTAATTTAAAAATAAGTAACGTGAAGTAACAAGGCTTTTAAAACCATGCGGAATTGTGTATATAAAAATTAAATTTGCGGAATCATGTATAAATACATGTACATCAATGGTTATACAAATCTACACGATTCCTCAATTGTGGCTTATAGCTTATATATGCTTTATATATTATGTATTTTGTATTATTGTATAATATATACATAATATATCGATTTTAAATCAGCTACTACGTATTGCGTGAGTATATATATTGAAAAAAGGGATAAGGTAAAACTGTAGTGCCAAATGTCAATATGAATCATAATATTATAATGGCATTGCAAGAGTGATTTATTATTTTTTTTTCAAAAATAAATATAGACACCAAAAATAATAATGTTGAGTATTTGTGTATGATAGGCTGGGATATGTATACACAATAAAATATAATGCATAGATCGTGTTTCAGAATCCACGATTGTATACAATTACTGGAATTGGATATTTTTGTAAATCAAAAATATCATTGTGGTTTCTAAAGAAAAAAATAATAAAGTACTCAAGTACCTATTGAGAAGAAAATTCGATTAAAAAACACTATATTATACTAATATACTATATAACATAAAATAGGTATATGTATAATATATTATACACACAAATGGAATAAAAGTATGTGAATAACTTGATGAGTGAATGACTTCGATGATGATAATGATGATGATTAAAATAAAACAAGATCTATTAATGATTATTACCTATATAAAAGGTATTACACTATTAAATATTAATTATTATTATTGATTTTGGTAGAAAAAATATATCAATAATTATAGTTTCATAGAAAATTTATTTTGATCTAGTGTTAAATATTAATAATATATACAATAGATTACATGCGTTTTTCTATGTATGCTTTAATGTGACATTTTATATATTTTTTTTTTATTCAATTACAAAGATTATTGGCCTAGTGTTATTTACAAACTAAAAGTATTTGATATTTTATTTTGTATTAATTATTGATTAATATAATGCAATTTCGTATAAAATATTTTCTTAAATCGATTAATTTATTAGATAAGTAGATCGTTATTGTATTAGTTTGTGTATTATTGAATGATATTTTACTAGATAATATTTAAATCTATTTATTTATATTTGAAATTAAATATAAAATTCTTTCAATATTTATTTATTTCATGTATATTTTATTATTATAACTGTATTTTAATTAAGTACAAACAACATGTGGTAAACCGCATAATATACAACGTATGGGAAAGTGCGGAAATGAAATATGTGTTTACGTATGCATTAAAAAAAAGCACAAATATGCACTTATTTTTCTATACAAAATATTGTGTAACTATTTATATAGAAATAAACTTGGAAAAAAGTTTTTTTGAAACTGTAATACGCTTAAAAGATCATTAGAGTCCAACAATGTCACTAATTTGTTCTTAGTATTAAAAATAATAAAGTAGGTACAGCATTGCTATCCAGATTCCAGGTACATCAATCCCAATGGGTTGTGATTGGTTCTGGAGATAAAAGAATAATCGGTGCTTAGGTTTTAAAAGTTTGAAAATGGGATGATGAAATTTGAAGTGTTTTTTTCTACATTAATACAATTTTATTAACAGTACCTAACTCCAATCCCACTTCCTTTGAAACTTTATGGAGGGCTTGAGCCCTTAGAAAAAATAAACTTTTTATTGAAAAAATGCTAAATAAGACCCTGCTGATCATAACAAATTTACAATCAAGATTCTGTATAGTATAAGACATTAATTTGTTGTTGATTTGTATTAAATTATAGGTATAATACGCATACGCATTAATATGCAAAATCATATAAATTTAGTAATATCATATTTTAAGTAAAAATATGCATCATAAATAGTTGTACTTGGATTGTATGTATTATGAAACGAATTTGTATTGAATCAGAATTTGAACATGTAATTTCCTAAGAAATAAGAAAATGCATTCAGTTCCGAGCCCTAATAAAATCTCTTATAATAGTTGTATATTATGTATTTTTCTTTATTACAAATTATTCATCAGTCATCAGTCATCACAAATCAGTCGTCAGTCAATCATCATTCATCACTCATCAGTAGGTACCTGTAACAAGTAAATAGTTTCGGAGGACTCGGGGATTCAGTTTTCGCGGTGAACGTAGGACGCGCCATCTGCCGACAACCGGGCACAGATGGGTCCGCGAACAAAACTGGCGGAGCCATAAAATGATAACATTGCAGTGATAACGCACGCGCACTCCTTCGACTCCCCCGCACCGCCGCCGGGACAGACCGACCCATTGCGATCGCGACTCTACAGAGTACAGACCACCACTCCCACACCGCCCGCAGGGGACCATTACCGCGGTCGACAACCATTCCGCCACTTCCACCACTCGCCATTCTTCGACACCGCCACCTTCTCCACTCACCGATCATCAACATCATCACCTCCACCACTCGACCGTCACCACTACCGCTGTCCGCTCTAGTTGTGTACGTCCGACGTCGTACGGTACTATACTACTATTATATCGTTTTACATTTTTCTACATTGTTCCAGCTGCAGTGGTAGTCGTGGTGTCCGCGGCCGCGTTCCAAATTTAACTCCGCACGCACGCACGCCGCACGGCCTCTCGACTAAACAATAACAACAAAAGACTACGACAACAACCGACGAATTTTTTGCAAATAACATTTCTGATTTTAATAATATGCCACTGAAGTCTCTTCGAGTATAATTTAAAATCTACATTACAATGTCCGGTATCGTCAGTGGTTCGTGACGCAAATATTTTTCGCCAACCCTCCGGTGGTTTTCGCGTTTGGGATTAATTCGGTTTCAACAAAAATAATTATTTAAGAAATATCAAAAACCGTGCTGCTCGCGCGATGACTTGTGCGACAATGGTTATTCGGTATTCGGAAGACTTCGACGTCGTCAAGTCTTCGTCTTGACGACAGGTATACGTGAATACCGAGTGTCATCGGTCGGATTGTTTAGTGGTACACTGGCACGGAGCAGAAGAGATTGTCTCGATTTCCATTGTCCTGTGTATAGTTTTCCAAAGATTCCGGATACTTTTCCGATCCGCCGAAAACGTGTGACGGGATGGAAATCGATGAGCATCAGACGCCGACCGACGACGTCTTAGTCTCAGCAAATCATATCGACCGTTCTGCGATCGTAATATAGCTTGACTACAAAGTTACGAGCGTAAGTGTTTCGAATTTGATCAATAATTAAAAATAATAAGGATCATTAACTACTGAAGTTTCATTTTTCAAAAAAAAGTGTCCCATGTTTTTCGTCTGGCGTTATTTGTCAAGAGATGACAACTGTCGTATCCTTAAGTCTTGACCATTATCATTAGGTAATCGCGGACTCTTCCTGTCTAACATTTTTGAAAGTGGTTTAGCAGTGTTTGAACACCATTCGCTAAGGTTATTCAAGCAAAACCTATATAAATTTGATTTTTAAATATCACGAATAAAGTAATCATAGAAGTGATCATAATTTGTAAATTAGCCTACTTTTAATGTCTCCTTCCAGTACATATTTAAACATTGATAGGTACCTAACTATATAATATTTAACTGCCCAATTATTGTTTTCTGCATGATTGACAAGCAAATTGGTCTTCTTTTCTATCATATTTTGTACTTACCAATTGTGGTTAAGTATTCCTTTGCAGCTACCTATGCCATTAAAAAAAAAATTTATAACAATCATACCAATAGCGAGACAATTATTTTAAGTCTACTTTCATTAATAAATGGGTTGATGATCTCAGAAAAATAAGATCAATTGCATTGGTTAACTTTTATAGTGTTTCTCTTTTGGACATAAAGATAGTTGAAAATTAGATAAATGCATAGGTAGCTGAAAACAAATAGAAAAATCAATTAGTACCTATTTAATTTCCTACCTAATCTTTTTTTTATTTCTGTAAGTCTGTGGAACATTTATTTATTTTTTAGAAACCATCTTGGAAACCATTGTATTTTTTGATAATCATATAAATATATATATAAGACCTAACATAATATCATAGCTATAGATTATATTTTTGTATGCTTAATTCATAATTTACTATTCAGCTACATAATAAACATTTTGATACCTATGTTTTTAACATTATGATTAATATTTACATTTATTTATTTCAATTTTTTTAGTAGGTACCTATCGTGTAGAATAATTACTTTTGATTTTTGAAACCAATGTTAAAATATTATAATTCTATTAGAAACTACTATCTAGACATACCACCATTCATTCAATAATTTTATCTTTAGGTTTTTCTGTTTTTGTACATATTTCCTGATAAGCATTATTTATAAACACATTTAAAATGTGAATTGTATTAATAATTTATAAACATTTTAAGATAGATTATCAAAATGTGTTAATTCTAATACCTACAGAATTGTCTCTATTGACTATTCAGATGACTTATGTTTTTATTTACTAAGTACCTATTATTTATCTAGTAATATATAATTTTTTTGTGTAAATAATATTATAAACATTAAAAATGTACCTACCTATGTGATTCACCAGTCATTACTGATTATTGATTGTTAATATGTATACAACAATGTTTCATAGGTGCCCTGAGCCTTAGACTCACTAATCACTAGTTTTTCTAAGAAAATTGAATCAGGTAATTAAAAAGGTAAATAATATAATATAACCTTTTATTTTTAATCATCAAATGACAGTAGGCACAATATGCACAATATGCTTTAGAGTACAAATTATAGATTACATTTGATTGAAATGCTTATGATGTGAACCCAGGGGTGTCATTTCAGTTGTTTTTCTGGGTTCTATTCGCTTTTAGGCGGGCCCATTTTGACATTTCACCTGGCCATTAAAAAAAAAATGTATTTATATATATAAATGTAGGTAACCTTGCTAACCTATGAAAATATTGTTTCCTTCCCTTTTATAATTCTAATTGAAACTCATAACGACTAATGCAACTTTTAAATAGCTAGCAATTCAAAGAATTAAAAGCGTATAAGCAATTAAAGCAACCAGCTAAAGCCACTTCACTATTATTTGAAAAAAAGGCAAATAAGGTATAATCAAATAGTAATAAAACTGATAAACCAAAAATATACAAAAATTTGAAAAAAATATATATTTTATTTATATTACCTAAGTATGAAATCATAATGTATAAGTTGATTATGGCGGCGCACTGAAGTTTGAATGGCGGGCCAATTGTTGACGTTTTTTAAGTTAGTGGTGCCGTTGCACCGCACCTCTCATAACGACATCCCTGTAATGAACCATATAATTAATTAAAAATGAGTGGAAAAAATAAAAGCTCAACAATTTTCAATTACAATATAGAACTGTAAATATATGTCAACTGTATTCGTCTTTAGAAACGTTCTTGGCAGTGGTCAAAGCAATGCCTGTTTATTACCCCAGTAAGTTAATATGTCAACTATATTAATGCCGGCTGTGTGCTTAGGGATGCCTTCAATAATATGTTCACATCTATGGTCAAAATGCCCCTCCTAATTATTCACATAAAATTTTGGCAATTTTCAATTGTAAGTTTGAGCTTCAAGTATATTCAAACAAGTTATGTAGGCTAGAAATTAATTTGTTTAATCCAATACACACAAAATAATGATACTAAAATCTTTTAGTCTCGGTATATACTAGTATATCAAGACATTTTTAACTTGATGCCTGATGGTACAAAACATCAAATAATATTTTTTAAACAATGAAAATGTTATCATGAGATTATTTTTAACATTATACGTTGTGATACGAAATAAGGAAAGAATAAAAAAAGAGGAGATTACATGTTTATACCTGAGTTTATACCTCACTAAACATGTCAAAAATTAAAATAAATTATACTGGTATTTTTTTAAAAATAATATTTACTAGAACTAATTTCTTGAGGTACTGTTATAAGTGGACTGGATTAAAGTGTTATTCTATTATTACTAATTTGAGTATAATTTAGGCTTAAATTGTTTTCATTATAAACCATTATGAGTGTAACTTGGATCAGCACCAATTTTCCTTTAATTAATAATCTAGTAATAAAATTAAAATACAATACTGTTATAATAAGATTTTAATATTTTTGTGGTAAATTGTTATTATGATGAACTATGTATTGCAATCAATTGTCATGAGTTAATTTATTTTTGACAAAATGACAGGATGCCATAACTGTTAGGTTAGATTTAGTTATGCTACTATGCTACCTATTATTTTTATTTATTATGAATAATTATTTAAATTTAACAGCATCTCATACATCTGGATTAAAAGTTATATTTAATAGCAATTATAAGCACAAGATAACTAAAGAAAAACACTTAATTGTGTACCTATTGGTACATTCAACTTAGTACATGCTTAATAAATATTTCTTAGATAATACATATTACTATCTTTTTTATTTGTAATGAAACTATTTCTTTACTATTCAAAAGTTGTGTGAACATCTATCATATTTCTTGACAATGGTCAAGGACTTAATATGTACCTAATGTAAAATAAGAAAATAAACCCTATTGCAATTGAATAAAGAACGCTTAGAACTAAGTAAAACTAAAGTTTAAAACTGACACACCTACCTAATATAATATAATTTATTAGATAATTCACAAATTAGTTATACGTGTATGGTGTACACATATATAATTTAACTGTTACTTTTGAGATAATATGAATATACATATTGTATTGCTGCTTGTACATATGGTTTATATTCTTTAACTGTTGATAATTAATTTATAAATATTAACAATTAAATAAAATTTGTTTTATGATATATCAAACTTCTATGTTAATTTTACCCACATTACTCACTAATCACATTGTTGTGCTTAAAAATTATAAATACGTGGGATTTAGGAATTCTATTACAAATAAACATTAACCTACTTAAAATGGTTTTAGTTTTAAAATAAGCTCCTGCCTCTACTAAAGAATAAATGTTAATTAAATCCTTAATAATGGTTGTTAATCTTGATTATATGCAGTTATGTGCAATTATAACATTTGTAAATTCAAGTTTTATATAAGTTATTTATATTTTGAATGCTTATTCATTTTTAACAATGAAATATTACTTATATTTTATTATATTTTTTTAGAACAATTTGAAACTACTCACCTGAAAAAATGTAAATGTTAATTTTACCCATTAGACTTTCCTGTTCCCATTTTCTATCAACTTATGAATATATTAAAATATATATATATATATATACCTATACCTGTTTGATGATATGTTATGTAAACCTTTCATAAACTACCTATATGGCTTAGATTCTTGTTAGTAGGTAGGGCTTCAATGTTACATTATCTGTTGTGTTTTGATGTTTCTGTTCAATAAAAAAACTACATAACTAAATTTTAATAATAACAGGCATTGCATAAATAAGAATCTCAAAATAATAAGTTATACATTTCATAAAAATTAATAATACTAATTTAAGTAAAGTACCTATTTAGATTAGGTATGTATTATTTTTAACTTAAATTATTAAAGGGCATTAACATAAAAGTTATACAATATTTTAATGAAGTTAGTAATTAATATTTGTATCAATGGTCAGCGGTTCGCTGGTTCCCTAACATTGATTTGCACCTTCATAGGTGTTAATATATTGCCCATGCCCTTCAATAACTAATATCTAAGTTAGGATTTTAAAATATAAATAAACTTAACAGTAAAACTATTACAGTTTAATGTATCATACTTAAATATTGGCTCATTGTGCTATGGGTCAATAACTATAAAACAAAAACTTTCCTATTTTGTTGGCTAAACAAAATATCATAAAATAATTTCATAATTTTAAATCAGGGCCTCCCTTGGATGTCACTAATCTTATTGGACATTTTTGATTTGTATTATGTATTTATTTTAATACTTAGATTTAATTATAAAAATTGTGAGTTTTTTATTTTAAAATTCTTACTTTATTTGTATTTGCAGAAGAAGACTTCACTGTTAATTGTACCAAAATGTCTTCCCAAGTAGATTATCAATGGTAGGATATATTATTACATACCATTTTAGCACAGATAAATGAAATCCTATTTAATTAAATAATATTAAATAATTCTTTTCAGGGCATATACAATAATGGATTCATCTCGGGTCTCCACATTTTTGATATCTATTCTGTTAATTGTTTATGGCAGTTTCAGGTTAATAAATATTAAATACATAATATATATACATATTTGTAATGTATTTACCATTATTTTAATATTTCATACATTCCAGATCTTTAAATATGGAACAGGAAGCCAGAGAAAGAGAAAAAGAAAAATCTAAGAGCTCCAACGGAAGCTCTGTATGCTTAACAGATATTAGTAAGCGAAAACAAGGTTAACATGCTTTAAAATAATTTCATTTCAGTATTTTACAATATTAAGTGTCCATAAAATGTATACACATATTTCATAGACTATTGTAGCTATTTAGCTGTTAAAATTAGTTATTGGTAATATTTTTATTTTTTCATTCAAATAAACTAAAATAATTTGATTTCTTACTAACAATTTTCTGGACTCTAATTTGCACAGAAACTGATGGTATTGTTTTGTAAATGAATTATTACACTAATATAAAATATACTAGTGTTTAATAAATTATTTGTTTTTTTATTTCTTAGATGTTCAAACATTGGATACTATGCAAGCTTTGTGTTTGCCTCTAGGAGCTTCAATATCATTATTAGTCATGTTTTTCTTCTTTGATTCTATGCAAATGTTATTTGCAATATGCACTGCAAGTAAGCTGGTCTTTTGTTGTATTGAGTAAATATTATGTTCAATGTCACTATTTAAGTGCTTTATATCATGTCCCTTATGTAATAACTTGATTTTACTATTTTCCAATTGTTAATTATTAATTATTATTTAACTTGAGTACTGACTTTTAATCTTGTAAAAAGTGTTTTAATCATAATATATAAGAAGAAAAAATAGAAAGTACAGAAATCACTTGTGTTATTTGATTATGTCACACATACTAAACTACAACTTGTAAATAATCAGGTTTTCATTTTTATTATTAAGGGGATTAAAAGTGTCAATTACTGAATTTTTTTTATCTTACACGTACACACTCAATATAAAAATCAATAAAAATATGTTTCCAATTTACCATTTTAAATAATGATATAATATGAATTTTAAAAATAGATTGAAATTTATTTATACACGGGTGATTGTATTTTGACAATATTTTTTATTTATTTGCCTTAAGTTTACCAAACTATTGAATATGGTGTCAATTTTTTTATGTTCCAATTCTTCTAATTCAATTTGGTGTGACTTATAGAGATAAAATTAAAAAAAGTGGAAAGTTAATATCATGTAGACTTCTTGAAAAATTAAAATTCTATGTTGGAAATCCTTATTACATTGTAAGATTAAATTATATCCCAGGTAGAAATAAAACACAAAAACTTATATCCAAATTATTATATTTTGGTTTTATAAAAAGACAACAAATCATTACTAAAATTCTCAAACATATTTTTTTGTTCTTGTATAATAAAATAAATTATATTTAAACAAAAAAAATACAAATTAGTGTTCAACTAACTTAACATTCTTTACAAATATTTCATTACCTCTGCTGTCATAGAAAGTATATTTTAATACTCATAATTACCTTTTTTTTCAGTTATTGCTACTGTTGCGTTGGCATTTCTCCTACTACCCATGTGTCAGTATATTATTAATCCTTGCTCTGATGGAAACAAGTAAATTTATATTTTAAAAACACTCTTATTCTGTTTTGTTATAACTAAATTTTTTTTTAGGATCTCTTTCGGTATATGTGGTCGGTTTACTATGGCTGAGCTGCTGTCTTTTTCAATGGCATTGTTTATAGTTTGTATCTGGGTACTGACTGGGCATTGGCTGTTAATGGATGGTGAGTGCTAAATTTTATGCAATAATTATTTTTAAATGTTTTTAGATTTCAATTCCTTCTAACCTTAAATTATAATAATATGAAATAATAATCAAGAGAAAGATATGCTTCAATAACATTAAACAACAATTTTTTTTCTCAAATTTAAAATACAATTTATTATTTTATAATAATGTATTTTTAAAATCTGTTTGGAATGATAATTCAAAGTAGTAAGTACTAAATAAATTATTTTTAAATTTTTGTAGCAATGGGAATGGGACTCTGTGTAGCATTTATTGCCTTTGTCCGACTTCCTAGTCTTAAAGTGTCCACTCTTCTGTTGACTGGTCTTTTGATCTATGATGTTTTCTGGGTGTTTTTCTCATCGTACATATTTAACACCAACGTTATGGTCAAAGTGAGCATTACTTATGCGGCTATAAAAAATTGCTAAAATACTTATTGTTGCATTATTATATATTAAAATAGGTGGCAACAAGGTCAGCAGAAAATCCTGTCGGAGTCGTGGCTCGAAAGTTACACATTGGCGGAGTTGCTAAAGAAGCACCAAGGTTATCACTTCCTGGAAAATTAGTGTTTCCCAGTATTCATAATGGGCGGTTTTCAATGCTTGGGCTTGGGGATATTGTGAGTTATACTTTGATGTTAATTTGTTAGTAAGCATTCTGATGGAAAACTATCAATATTGTTTGCTATTGCAGGTTATGCCAGGCCTATTACTGTGTTTCGTGATGCGGTATGATGCATATAAGAAATCTCAGCTTCTACATTTCGGGGAGACTGGCGTTCCACCTCCAAGACATCTTGGCAGAATAAGGCAAGACAAAAATTTTATTATGAAATTTGTGTAATAATTGTGAAAAACAAATAGATAACATTGTTAATTTTTATTGTTCTCTGTAGTTACTTCCACTGTTCTCTAATCGGATACTTTCTGGGTCTGGTCACCGCTACAGTGTCTTCAGAAATTTTTAAAGCAGCCCAACCAGCACTACTCTATCTAGTTCCATTTACACTGTTGCCTCTTCTGACCATGGCTTATTTAAAGGTAATATTTATACTCCTGGGAGTAAACTGTTTTCTGTAAATATAAATTAATTAATTTACATTTTAAATAATAATTGTTTAGGGTGATTTAAGAAGAATGTGGAGTGAACCATTTATAATACAACAGCCTTCCAAACATATGGACGTATAGTCTGCGGTAGCATTTACTACTATAATGTATATTTATTTTTAGAACCATTTTTGTACAATTTTCTCTTTTAATTATTTTGTGTAATAGATCTACATACAGTATGCCCTTTCTACTTGAAGGGATATTAAGAAAATACAATGATAGGTCTTATGTTTTCTGAAAATCGAGGTATACTTTTGCAAATTATTTCTTCTCCAAAAATGATCTTTTTATTGATTGAGAGATTGTGATGTTTGTTAAATTTCATCTACTTGAGTTTCCATTTAAACACTAATTGATGACTCATAATATGCCGATCAAATATACATAATATAATATTTATACATCTACATTTTTCGTACTATATAAACTTTTCGTTAGGATGGACTTGTCTTGTTAGTTATAAATAATGGAGGTGGCCAAGTGTTATAACATTTAAATAAATCAGTAATTATTATCACTGCTCTTCAAAGTATCAACAATCCACTGCTTAAAAAATATACATATTTTAATTTTTCAGTAAATTACAAAGTCTGTTTATTATATTTGTTAGTAAAAAGTACTTTCATAAAGAATAACATTTAAAAATTCATACAGATGTTTTTTAAAGTAAAATTTTTTCTTTACTTATATTTGACACTGTTTTCTATTGTGGAAAATATTGAAAAACAACTAGATTTAATAAATTTCCTAATCATTTAATTGAAAATGTGTAACGGTTCAGTCATTGCATTTGCACAATTTACACAGCTATTATCGCTTTCTGGAATCTCTAAATGAGTGTAGAAAATAATGTTTAGAGTTTTTGATTTGAGATTTATTTGTACGATATTAATTAGATTTTTAACAAGAGTTTGTTATCAAACTATGTGAACGGCGAGAAGTTTACCTAAGACTGATTTATTTTCTTTTTTCTTTAGTATTATATATTTTTTTTTATTATAATTGAGCAAAATACCTAACTTGTATTATCTGAAATGTGTTTATTACTACTAATCATTGTACTGTATCATATTTATTTTAAGGTTTAAATAATGTCTCACTAAATGTATTCGTAACTCATATTTGTTTTCGAGAAGCTGAATTTAAATACGTAGTTTCCAACAGCATAATATTATACCAATTATATATATATTTTTTTTTATTATGTATAATTAAATTTGATTAATTTTCTGTTTATAATTATAGTAATTTTATTATTGTATATATTATAGATTTTAATCTATCTCTCATCCTCTCATCTTGTCGACACCTGGTTTTAAGTTAAATTGTCTTTATATTATGTTATTAATTGTCCTACTGTATTAAGTTTACGATAGATACAATACGCATAAATAAGTATACATCATATTATTATTATTATATTATTATTATTATTATTATTATTATTATTATTATTACTATACATACATGATAACAAAAAATGTACTAAAGTGTTTATTCAAAACAAATAGGTATTGTAATTATTTTGAGGTTAAATTATAGTGCTTTATACATTGTGACGTTTAAAATATACCGAAAGAATGCCTCTTTGTTTTTTTGACGTAAAATGTAATCGCCTCACTATAATGGTCTCTTTGAATAAGTTAAGTAACCAATGCCACTGTTTTATTTTGTACCCTTTTTTGTGGCTGTGATGTTTAAATAATAACAATAGGTAATTTACTTTTCAAACACACAACAAAAGTAGCGTATAGTATAACTTTTTTTCTACAAAAACTAAATTGTAATATTATATTATTATATTATTACCAATGCTAATAATCAACAATAATAATATTGCTCGTTGAATGAAGATATTTCTGAATAGTTACACATAGTACTATGATATAAATTTGTTTTGTGTTTATGCATTTAATAAATATTATGTACATCAACCACAGGCCAAAACAAATACATGTGATAATTTTGTTCTATTCTAGAAATAGTTTATAATTTTTTATCCATTTGAGTAGATTGCCAAACAAAATCTTGTGACCCACAATTACTTTGAATTTGTAAATTAATATAGACATTTTTTTTGTTTTTTTTTTGTTACACTGATATTATATTATATTAATAAAACTTACGTGATGTTTTACTGAAAACAAATGTATTAATTCCAATTATAAATGAGATATTATCAACAAAACTCAGAAGAAATATGATTACATCTAGCCCGTGACAATAATATTCTCTCACAGGATGAAGATGGAGGTAAGGTGGTTTTGTTTGTTTCTGCAGCCCTCATCTAATTTACCACATTAGAAATTTAGACTTTCTTGACAAATTTACTTTGTACTTAATGACTATCATTTAGTTTATATATGGTTTTTCTACCTCACCATCTGTGTGGACTTTCAAGTCTTGATTCAGGAGCTGGCTAGGGTGGAAGTTGGGTGATCTACTAAATGATAATATAAATTAGTGTTTTTAATTATAACTGTATTCTATAACTAAAAAAATAAAAAAGGGAAGAAATACCAACAATGGGCGGATTTCTCTTTTCCCTTTAGTCAGCCAATTTGTATTTCCAGTATGCCCCTAATGGGATTAGAAAATTTAGTGTTGCCTCAACGAAACCAAATATGCCATAAGAAGCTTGGAACGTGTCTGGTCTTCATTTAGAAATCTATTATACCTCTAAGCCCCATATGTTTCACTGAGAAAAGATTAATAGCTTGCAACAATCTGTGTGATATTCAATTTATTTACAACATTCAATAGAAATCTTTAATATTTATAGAATAATTTATATAATATGATAGGTATTTACAAACAATTTCGAAATGAAATATCGTCATGATGTTATGCATTCGTTGAACATGGCCGGGAACCAGTATGAGAATTCACCATCATTTTGACTGTCAACCCAGCACAGGCCTTCAATAACCATTTGACTGATAGCGTTCACAGCTCTCGTTTCTTCCCAATTGAGTTGCACTTTGAGGGACGAAAGACTGACGCAGGGACTGCCAGAAGACGACAACAGTTTGAGTACGGCTGTCTGATCCATGCTCAGTTCTCCAGGCACAGACTGCACCATGTACTGGCCCTTGCCGACAGGAATCACGCAAAAACCGTTGCCAAATATTTTTAGCTTCTTGGCCGCACACAGTAGGTCGTCAACTGTGATCTCTTGATGCTGTATATTGCGACCTCTAGCTTTTATCTGGAAAATAAACAGTATGGTTTAAGTGAGACTCATAAACAATTAGAGAAGTAGTAAAAGTATTATCGTACTGATTATGACAGACAAATTAGACAAACAAGGAAAAAAATATATAAAGCACCTAAAATTGCAAACCACTCACCAGGCGATCCCTGAGCTCGTCCAACCCAATGATACCACCATTTTTATAACTTGTCGCCATGCACACTTCAACGATTTGAACGGCCAATTCGTAGTAAAAATCTCCGATGCCAAGGACTGACCAAAAGCCCTTTCCGGAGGCCAACGGATCGACACCGATGGACGCACACATTTCTTGAAACTGTCGTCTGAACTGTGAGTTCTTCTTGATTTCGTTTTTGTACTTAGTGGCGAATTCCTCAAGATTCCCGCGGAACACTTCCATTTGTTTGGTCATATGTTCAAACTGATTCTCCTGAATCACCGTCCCTTTGTCCTTGTACTTTTCTTGTTCCAATTTTTGCTTCTGAATGGCACCGACGCCCGCTCGTCGCCTCATTTTCAAAATGCAGCGATTGAAATATGAATAAATCAAACTATAAACGTTCCTCCAAATGCTAGACGTCTGCACACCTCGATAAAAATTATTAGTACCACTCGCTGTTTAGGTCCAAAACTGTACGACTGTACTTTTGATTCAGGTCGCGAAAAACACGAAAGTATGAAACTTTAACGAGATGATCATAATAATATCGTCATCAATATGATTGATTTTCTGGATTTTCGACCAAACCAGTTATTTGACTCAACGGAGACAGCTGAAGTCAGACACTCCACACTCAGAGTGACCAGACGTGGTTGAGTGATGGATTTTTACTGAGTGAAGTCCTTATCAATGCAGCTATCAAATCGCGTCGTCGTCGGTATGCCGCAGTCTGTAGTTGCAGCAATGCATTATGCAGCCTGCTGTAGCGGTAACAACTATTATCAGAGTTATTCTTATCACACACCTTTGCCGCCGGCTCGTCAAGTGTTTTTTTAAAGTCGCTCCGTTCTGCACTTCTGCCGTCTTTAGTCGTCATCTGTCAGTCGTGACAATCGTTCTGTTATACATTTCCACCTCTTATACCTCACGACTATACCTAATACTTATTATCATAGAAGTTACTCGTCACTCATAAAAAACAATGTTCTGCTTGACCGCGGTTCGTGTGTGTAGGCCGTGGCCGTCAATTGTCGCGGCTGTGACCAAACGTCAAGGCCTGAACACGCGGAGTTCGCCTGCCGCAGCCGCGGCCCAAGCGCAGAGCGGCATCAAAAAGCGGGCCCAACGCCGGAAGCCGGCAGTCGCGGAAGACACGGGTCAGCGACAGGGCGTAAGTCGTGGTTATTTTCCATTTTTCATCAGTGGGAGGGAGAGGGGGCAGCATACTTGCCATGTGGTCGCCGGTCGGTTTTAACCAGACACCCGTGTTCGAATTGGGATGAATCATAAATTACGTAGAAGAGCTTATTAATACAACGATTTGAAAACTGCAATCTTAGAGCAAAATTATTCAACACAACTGTGAGGTCTTTGCCATATATATATTTATATGTATTCATATGAAATAAACATTTTAAAATATAATTCATACTAATGAACTTGAATTTATGTTCCTCTACATTAGTTTATCACTTATTAGTTTCACTTTAAGAATGCAATTTCATTGACAAAAATTCAATTCTGTTTTTGAAGAAAAATCAATTCAGACATCAACCTGACAGCATTTTGTGCTGTCCACCACCCAATTCTGGTAAAAAAAAGTTGCATTATGCAAAAGGCAAAACAAAAAATATAGGCGAGCTCCATCCCCTGCACACTTACCTACCTCAATTCGAACACTGGTCTCAGCACTAAATCAACGTGAACATAGACTGACCGCTTTACGGTCCCTTTGCAGCTCAAGTATAAAAAAACAAGCTCTGCCATCTCCGTATTATGCCCCAAGTGAATAAATTAGCAAAAACTTTTGTTCACACCGAACAAATTTTGGCACAATCGGTGCAGTTTATAAATACGCTATTGTTTTCTTTTGAAGACAAAATCACTCATCTATGTAGTATGCAATAACTAATAATAATAACTGAATAATGAATCATATCTTATATGGATGATTTTATAAAAAATTTTGTAAGGATGCATTTTTAACAAAATATTTAGTTATTATACGGAGTGTGTGAATCACATCAAGTATGTTTACTATCACTCATTTTTTTTTCAATAATGCAGTTATTCAAAATCTGATGTTTGGCATTTTTAAATACACAAGTTCTTACTTATAGATCATATTTTCAAATAATCGAGATGTTTTTACTACGCAAGGAGATACAATCTTCCTTCTGTTATTCAAACAAGAAAAAATGACGTTTTCATAAATTGAAAACAGAAATTTGTATAGTTTTGAAATAGTTCGAAAAATCTCAAGAATTTGAATGAATTCATTGTTAAAGAAAAAAGGGGGTTAAGCATTTGGATTTTGGATAAATTCCCTCTTTGCATTTGAACAAATTTTTAAGCTGTGGTACCCCTGCTGGTATAATTATAAAACACGAATTAACTTTTTTTAACAGAATTGAGTCAATATTTTCCTTCATATTGACTTTAAACTTTTCGAATTAAATATACCTAATAGCTACTTATATTGTTCGCTAACCACTAACTTCTAACTGGACGTTCTTTACGTTGACTGACTTACGTTGGGTTAATTTTGTTCATCAACTAGGGAGCCTTTGTGACACTATTAACCATGTAGGTAGGTACCACATCAAAATAATACATCATACAATTTACACGTATCTACCTGACGTATTCGCAGTTTTGGTGCGTATCGGCGTTCTCGACTGCCGAAGAGTTTCGCCTGGAACAACTGTCGGCGGCGCTGTCCAAGACGAACATGTACGAGCCCACGTGCCTGTACAGCGGTTCCGACGATAGTGCAGGTGAGCGAAATTACGTTTTGAAACAATCACTGATGACAACATAATCCGTATTCGTTTTCGATGTATTTACTTTGAACAGATAGCCAGATAGGTACCATAATAATATAAGATATATACCTCAATATCCACATGCGTAGGCGCGATGAATTTACTTGTGGGGGGAGGTTACATTTGTTTCCTCGTGGTATCTATGACGCTGCCAAAACTTCTTGCGAATTCCGAGGGGGCTTAACAGAATTCTGAGAGGGTTATAGCCACCTTAGCCCCCCCCCCCTATGCGTACATATACCGTGTCCTGTGGTGGTAACTTTCAAGTAGAACTATTCTACTGTCAGATCTGATTATAATATGACTAATAGATTTCACCAAAGTTTCCCCGCCCGGTTTTCTCGTGCGTGTCAAGTTTATTATAATTATTATAATATTTGGTTTTGTGCGTGGATAGATTATATACCTAACCTTAAATTAAGCCTACATTATTAACGTGAGGTGTGGCGGGATTATCCATAACAACAGTTTTAGTAAAACATTTTAATCATTGGTCATTGGTCTAGCTTCTTAACTGTAGGTGAGAGGAGGGGAGGGGTCAGTAAGACCTTTGGTCTTGGCCTCTTGGGCCAGTGGACAGGACTAGGGACTCGCAATAACATTAAAAAAAATAAAACAATTAACTGTACATTACTGCGGGAATAAATTATAGTATCTAAAATCACAAAAATAATTGTTCGTCAAGATGAATACAATGTACATTTTTTTTTTAAAAAATAAATCATATTTAAATATAATATACATGTAATGATTAAAATAGTTGTTGTTGGTAGCAAATTAATATATTCTTATGTTGTAAGCAGCAAATTGTTGACTATTATTTACTATTGTTTATACACCTATAGAGTGTGTATTAGACACTATAATAGTGTCACACTAATGATTTTCATACGATAGTCTATTTATTGGGTCTGACGTGTTATACCGTAAACGAGGCGGTAGTGCGGTACGACGGTACCAGAAGCGACCAATTGCATTCACACTATAGGTTAAAAATGTACCTACACAATTAAGAATTTTATTTTGTATTCATTAACAACCTTTTTTCTAGATTTATTTACTTTGATAAGAAAACTATTAAATGTTCACACCTTAATATGTTTGCATGTAATTGAAAAAAATATTTTTGTTTTTAAAAAATTATTTTGGGGCTTAGTAAATTAAAAGATTAAAAAATATTTTTCTTACATAACCTGGAAAAGAACTATAAGAAACTAATAAATTCATACATATATTACAAACAGTAATTTGACATCGGAAAGAACATAAACTTACTGGTCTTAAACCACAAAAATATAAGGTGTTTCAACTGTCTATTAATAATATCTTAGAAGAATAAAATCATAATATATAATTATTTAGTACATACATAATATTTGGAGCTCTACAATTGTTTTGTCTAATATTTTTACGTACAAAATAGCTAAGAAAATAAAACACATACTTGTTACCTATATTCTATTGTACTGCCTAGACTGTACATAATACAAAATTACAGACCGAGACGATTTTCAGAAACTGCGCCGGCCGACGTCATTCACGCCGTGTCCAAGTTTCACGTGACCAACGAGCCCAGGCATTTATATTTCTTCCGTGAGGGCTCGGTGGTCGGATGGAACGTGTCGGACCTCGAAGTCAGCAGTCTGATTAACTTCCTAGCCGAACACGAGATCGGGTCCTACGACGACCACATCGTCATGAACGAAAGAGAAATCATGTATTACGCGTATACGAACGACAAGTAATTTACATTGATATAAATAATTAAGTCATGGGTGGATCGACAGGACGGGTGAGTTCACCCTTATAAGGTCACGGGTGGTGATGGTGCTCCCCACAGTTTACCAGTGGTGTCTTTTCGCCAACACGCACCCACGCGACATATGTATATACTGCAGGAAATATAAGGAGATCCAAGTCGCCTCTACAGGCTCTACTACCTCCACCATTCCAGCAAACTACACCTTATTTTTGGTGGTACCATTTTCCTCCACAATAAAAGGTTAGTTTCTATTTTCCACCAAACTTTTTTTTTTACTAAAATAGTGCCTTTTCTATCCAAATATTAAAAAATACCGATATTTCGTCACTATCAACAACCTTAACTGTAAGTGATGTGTCTTATGTTTAAAGAAAGAATAAGGCACTAATATCAGCCATAATCTCGTAACTGATCGCTTAAAACGAAAATTAATCAATAATTCACAAAATGTATGTAAAAAGTTTTAATTAACAGGTATTGTTATACAGTATCGAAAAACTTATAGAAATGAGAAATGGAAAGTTCAAAAATTGAATTCATTGATATTTAACTCAAACCTTCTGTGAAAAAAAAATATTTCTTACAATAAACTAAAATGCATACATTTTCCTACAAATGCACAGCCCTAATTAACGCTCGTCCTTGCAGTGAACCTAGCCTAAATATAGGTGCGCTGTGGTCGCTGCAAATGCAGGACATGAACGCAGCTGCGGTCGCCGGCGTTTCGTACCCAAAACTCGTAACTCTATATCCTGTCGTTTGCGTTTATTTAGAAAGAGTTCGATCCAAAAAGGAAATGTGCACCTGATTGGCGATGACGTAACGGCGTCTGACTTGGACCGGTACACGTTCTCCAACGCGATGGCACACAGCGTGAAGCTGGGTACGTGGGAAGCGCTTCTCGAAGAGTACATAGATTCCGTCGAGGTCGTAACACACGTGAGTTTTTGAACATCGGAAAGTTGGGGCGGTCATAAAAAAATCGGGGTTTTTTAAACTATAGAAAGTCGCCAAGTATAGTTGGTGACCGGTCTGCTGTTTAAGTACAGTGGGGGGAGGGGGGGGGGGTGTGACTGTCGTGTGTTCTAGTTATTGAATAGGTCGAAGCTGTTAAATGATTTTAATTCTATGATAAATTATTACATACGACGAAAATCGTATTTGCAGCTGCCTAACTTTTTGATATTAGTATATTACCAAACAATTGTTATAATAATAGCATAACATTTTAACTAATGATTTTTCCAATTCGTGTTTATTTTGAAAAATATTAAGGATTTTTTTCCTTTTACCCAAAGATTACAAACTAGATTCAATTTGTTACCAGAAAATAAATCGTTCGAAATTGACGATATAGGATCATTATTTTTCTAGAAAAAGTGTCATCAGACGCTGAGACGCGTAAATAAATAAAAAATACACATCATTGCATTCGTTCCGACCAGAATCTAAAATAATAATTCGAATACGAATTTTATTTGTAGAACGTACAATATCTTTAGGTTCGTAGTCAAATTAATTTATTTTATATGTGATTTGATCAAAGTTTTAATTAATCAATATTAAAATGTGTATTGTATATTTTAAGGTTTTTAAGTGTACAAGTGTTTGGAAATATTGGTACTTTTAAATGGCTATATGCGTTAGCGTCATCGCCCTAAATGCATATTATTATTATACTACTGCAGAGGTTTAAAAAAAAATACTTTAATCTTTTACACACTTGACCCTTTTCGTCATTAAATATTTTTAAAATTATAATCTATGTTTTTACTAGTTTGGGATCGTCAACAGTCAACAGAGAATCATTTTCATTTCTGTAGCTACATAAACTTTCGCGTCTAGGGGGGGGGGAGGGGTAAATTACCACGGAATCCAAATTCTAAGTTTAGAGTTCTCAAAGTACCTTCTAATACAAAAGTTTTATAAACACATTTATGATAAGACTCGACTTGTTTAAGGGGTTCTACTAACCTCGTTAAAAGATTTGAAATTTATTGTTGGGTTATTATGAAGTATTGTGGAAGCTAAGTCATGTCGTCACTTAACGCCTAGTAATTATGTTTATGTACCTAATTATGCTAATAGAAAAAGGGGTGCAACTTCATTGTGTTCCTGATAATTATGAAGTACCTGATCATCATATTTAACTTTTTAATTACAATAAGACTGGGACACATCTAGTAAACACTGGTTTTTTTTCTTAATCAGGATCTACAAAACGGACTGCCTATCAGGATAACCAGGAAAGAAGTCATGAAGAAAACTGGTGAACTATTTGGACTGAGACACAGGATTAATTTAAGTTCAGATCTCCTCGATTTGCCAGACTTTTACTGGGAACGAGAACACTTAGAAACATTTTACCGTTCTACCTGTAACTATTTCAGCATATCCACACGACTCAAGGTAAGTCTACAACAACAATGCCTATCAATTATTGTTCTTCATTCTTTACTTAACGACTTATTTTTCAGACCATGAATATCAAAATAAACCATTGCCTAGAACTTGTCGAGCTTCTGTCACACCATTTGAGTGACAAACATCACATCAGACTGGAATGGATGATCATCGTGTTGATTATGGTCGAGGTCGGCTTTGAAATCATTCACTATGCTCAGTTATTCATCAAATGAGCTGCTTCCGCACGCGTTTCTCAACAATCTTTAAAAATTTATTATTTTCCTCTAAATGTTTGAATCTACAAATAGTTATATCATAAGTTAAGCATAATCTTATATTAAGTTTATTATTATCATGCATTGTGAAATAAATTGATGAGTCGTAGACCATTTGTTTTTATTCTCAGTAAACAAACCTTTTGACAAAACATAATAATTGATCTCTAAACTGTATTCCAATTAAGTGTTCATGCACCCAAACACAACTGTTTATTTCACATAAATACAATACATAATCGTTTAAAGTTAAAATAAAACAATTACACAATATAAATCCCTTAAAACAAAAAGACGTTTACGTCTATAATTAAAAAACATACATACATAAAAAAACATACTTATCAAATCCCAAATAACAAAATGTCAAAGGTTTACAATAAATCTTACACATTAATAAAAGTTAGTTGAACAATAAAATCTAAAAAATAAAACATATTGCACAGAATTTAAATAATATCTGTTGTTATTACCAAAATCCTTAATCATTAACTATTGGACGGTGATTAAACTACAGGTTAGGCTAGAGAACAATTCAACTAAATAAAAAATCTTAAAATTATTTCTTACAGAACATTTAAAAACTGATCAATCTTCGGTGCAAAAATAAGAAAAATTACACATAGTTACGACATATTAGTCGCTAAACAAGTCATATAAAATTTAAACATGAAAACAAAAGTATGATAAACTTACCAAACTGATTTCTTTCTTCTGTGATCCTGCAACAAACAAATTGTCATATACAATACTTCGCCGATTTAGATTTTGAACATAGATACAAATTATTAATTGTTTTTCTTGAATCATTGATATTTAAAAATTTAAAGGTATAATTTTTTTCTCTCTAAAGTATCATAATAAATACAATTAATAAACAACTTTTGATTTTTATATAGAACCCTTTCATTTATTTTGATATGAAATTAAACCATAGGTAAGGTTATTGTATATATAATTTTGAAAATGTATTTGTGTTGCACTATATTCAAGTACTATAGACAACTATATGAAATTAAAAATATACAAACAAGGAAGAGCTTGTTAACTTTATTTGTTTGCAGTAAACATTTTTTTGAAAAAATTACTGTTAAGTACATAATTAAAAAAAAAATTGTATTAATATTTAATACACATTCAAAAATATTTGTTTTTTATGCAAAATATCTCACAGTCTTAAAAAACTAAGTATAAAATAAAATTTTTTTTCAAATATTGCATAATAAATGTATAAAAATGTTTTTAATAATATCATAATTCATATTTCATAACTAATCACTGTGTGTAGGCAAATGCATTTTAAAATATTGTATTATGATTGGTTTATTGATAATGGTTCAGAATTACAAACAAATGATTTTAAAAACAAAATATAAAAATAAAAATTACTTTCAAGCTAATCATTTTCATTTCCAAATATACTGAAAACATTTTTAAAACAAATATGTTTAACTAAAATCAGTCTAGTAATAAAAAAAAATTAAATTTTAAATATCTAATTATTGTATTAAATTTCAAAAGTTTAAAATAAAATGTGTGCATTTAAACATAAACTCACCTTGCTGATAATGTCATAAAAAACATTATTTAAAAAATAATTATGATACATACATATAATGTTAAACCATAATTGGAAAAAAAAAACCAATATCATTACAAATACATTTTATATTTTTATCTAATATGCATCAAAGCAAACTCATACTTGATGGAAAAGCTATATGGGCCAAAATATGTAAAATTAATCAAATACTTGTAACTCACGGTTAATTTGGGATCGTCCAACAAATTCATTCGAGCCATTTCCACCAGCAATTTTTGTTCGCGATCCATAACTTTCATTGCAGTCTTTTCAAATTGTCTATGGTCTGTAGAATCCTATGAAAGAAAAAAGAAAAACATTTTGTTGAGTTCATTATAGGACTCTCTAAAATGAGTTCATTTACCGATGAATGTACACCATAATTGTCGTCATCACTGCCACAGTAGTCTGGATGTTGTTCGTAGAACTCAGCTGTCTCTGCTTCCAACCGTTTCAGTTCATCATTGCCCTTTTCAATGACACCTATCAGTTTTTCTCGTTCACCAATCAAAATACGTTGTTCATCCAAACATTTATCAATGTTCTCTTCCAACTAGGGATATAAAAAGGAGTCAATTTTACATAATATTAATATTATATTATATCCAAATCATCATCCCATTGTCCCTCAATATTTTCCAAAAGTTAATTATATAACCATTTCAACCCAAATGTAAATACATGCAGCAGAGACGTGCTAAAGGGGGGGGGGCTGTCATATCCTCCCCATGAACTTTTTATGTGTATTGCCTGTTTCAACATCCACCCCAGAAAGAACGTTTTCAACGTTAAAGAGGGTTAAGACATACACTAGAAACTCGAGTAATACTTGAAGTATTACACTCATAAACTTACACTTAGTTCAATGTCCAACTAACATTCAAAAAATACTAACATTTTATTTTAGGATCGTTTGAATAGATTAAAGTTGTTGGCAGTACATAAAGATATCAGTGTTACTAGAGATGAAGTCTTAGATAAAATGTCCACAAGCCAAGAAAAACTTGAAATAGTACTTTAGGTTAGGTAATTGTAACATCTCTGAAATCTAAATTTACATTTTATAAAATGTTAATTTTGAATAATATGTTACCTGTATTATGTTTATAATATAACATTGTGGTTTGTGCCTCATTACCCATTCCTAATTTCTAAAATCAATGTATCAACGGTATTTGCCAATAAGAATATTTTGTAAATTTGTGTTTATGAGATTATGACTATTATACCAATAGACCAAAATACAGTTCATCTGTTCATCCTCCTCCTTCTTCCCCCCCCCCCCAATATAAGAAAAAGCTGAGCACACCACTGACAGGCAGTACAGTGTGTTCATACCTGGGTTTTTATTGCAGCGAACAGGTCATCCATTCCATTCTTGCGTAACGCATGTTCTCTTCGCCAGCGTTCCTCTTGTGACCGCCACATGTTACGAGCTTCCTCTCTGAGAACAATAACAAACAGAAATTGAAAAAACACTATATGTATGAACATATTGCTGCCTAATTTCTACAGAATAAATGAAAGAATTTTTTTTAAAAGGATGCAACATAGACATTTGTTGTCTCTGTCTTACAAGTATGTAACAGAAAATGTACGCTTAACAGATCACATTTAGCTTTGTTAGCTTAAAAATTAGAGTGAAACAATTTACTATGAAACTTGATAATAAGAACATTACAGTGTTTGTAAATGGTTTTTTTTTACGATAGTTCAAATTGGTTTAAATGTTGAGTGTATAATATAGCATAGATTAAAAATTTGTATAACTCACTTAGAAACTGAATTATCGTTAAAAAAATCCACACCCAAACACTGTTAATGTTCTGACTATTGTTTCATAGGTTGATTCAATTCAATTTTTACACCAACAATATCTGCCGAGTGTAAATTTGCAATGTTACGCACTTGTAAGACAGAAACAGCAAACGTCTGTGTAGCTTCATCTTAAATTCTTAATCAATATAATTGAGGACTTCCTTCCCTAACAATATTTTGCCTATTTGCTGTGCATATGTCTATTTTTAGAAATTATATTATCCTATGTCCTACACTTACTCGAACATAAAGTCCATCAAGTATAGTCGCTGGCTCTCGTCATCCTCGTACCGGTCGTACAGGTCTCTGAGGTTGTCTACCATGCTGCCCAGGTTGACAGATGCCGAGGCATTTGAGCGGCGTACAGTCAATACCAAGTCGTCTAAAAGCTTACGGTCTTCTCTTAGGAACTCAACAATTTCCTTGGACCTCTGCTTTAACGTGGTAAGATACTGACGGAGTGCCTTAGCCCTGAAAAATACAGCGAGACATTAGCAAAAAATATTAATAACTCTTGAATGAGGAGGGATAAGAAGATTCTATAAAACAGGCATACCCCTAGCGTTAATAGTTAATACAATATTCCATAATATATGTGGTTGATTTCCTCTAGCTCGGTACATACCTGGACAAGCTTTGCACCTTTTTCCGTTCTAACTGCTCATTTTTACGCTCTACGTCTTCTACCTGGTCTTGCAATGCCAAATATGCAGACTCCAATCTCTTGAGCTCATCACATCGGTCTGAGCGGTTTCTATATACAAACACAAAAGTTATTAACAATGATGGAATGAGCGTTCCTCAACCTGTGGTACATGGAAAGCTTATAGATGATATATTAAGAAAATCTCCCTTTATAAAGAAAATGGTATAGATCATTACATACATTAAATAATACTTGGTTTATTTGATATTATTAACAGTATAAATAATAATTGTGTATGATTCATTTACTCTGTGTGCATTAAATGCTTATAGGTATGATCATAATTTGTTGGTTTCTAATTAAATTAAATTTCCTACTTGTAAAATAATATATACATTTTTTTTAAGCAAAACAAAGGTTATTTGGTCAAGTGGTACATGAAAATGTTCCAACTGTGTGGTGGTACACGGATATAAGAAGGTTTAGAACCACTGATGTAATACATAATACAGGATGATAATATATTAATTCAAATACTACTGATTTGACTTTTTTCACAGTTAATACATTTATTGGTTTTGCATATTTTAATATTTTTTTATTTTTGTTTTGGTGCATAATGATTTAAGCGATTATACAAATGTTTTATAGAGCATACCATTGCGCTTATAATAACCCTTTTTTAGCAATCATAAATACGTTTTTAGGCAATCAAATAAATATTTCTAACCGATTTTTCGTAAGGTTTTCATCGTCATAGTTACTTATCAACAAAAATATGTTTATGATTCATAGGTTTTCCTTTTAAAGAAAAAATATTGAGTAGCACGCAATGGTTTTTTTTAGAACAAGTCATGATCATGAACCTCGTTTAAGACAACGGACATTCGTTGCAGAGTACCAAACGCCATCCAGAAACGATGCATCAGTATTATGTATTTGTTTCCAAATTCACTTTAAAATATTAGTTAAGACCACAGTTACATAGTAGGCAACTGTGGTCAAGACTATTATATTTTATAAACTCACACACAGACTTACTTTAATTCGGCCACACGACCGACAAGCTCGTCTTTCAACTGAGTCGCCCGAGCCTGTCGTGTCCTGTGTTTTTCCTCTTCGGCCAATCGATCAGCCGCCGACCGTTCCTCGCTCATCCGTTGCTCGTGTTCCGATCGTTCTCGCCTTTTTTGGTTGGCTGACTTTTTCTCCTCCATCCGGTCATCCCACGAAGACTCTGACGACCGCTCACGCTCTCGCATTTCGTACTAGCAAATCAAACAGTAATAATATGTAAATCGATTTGAATAAGTATTTATCACACTACACCCAAAATACCTATCTACTTGTTTAGTTTACTCGGGCTATTAGGTTTAGTTTGAAACAACGCTTGAAAACTTTAAATATTCGAACCAAGCTGAATATTCGAAAATTAAAAATAAAAAGAGTCTAAATTCATAGGTATTGAATTCGACGAAAAACGATAAATAAATTTTATTCAAAGTATTGTTTCGGTAACAATTATAAATTTTTTTCGTACTTTTTATCATCATATTATGCAGAAATTATATTTTTCAAGTTTAAATAATTGTTTTATAGTTCATATAATTTGGGTTTGATATAAAATTTGAATAAAAAATTACGCGAATTTAGTTTGGATTTGTTGATTTGTTATCAAAAATCTTGAATTTGTAACATACCTATAAATATATGGTAATATTGTAATGTATACAAGTACGCAACCAATGTAATAATACCGATTGATGGATAAGTGTTTTAGGCCCAATGAATACAATTTTACTTTGTGGAAATCAGTAATGAAATCGGTTTTGTAATGAATGCCTAGGTACCTAAAATATTTTCTAAGTCGTGCCTCTTACAGAGTACATATATGGCTACCTATAAGCAATAAGCATACTACAAGCAAGCCGTGACAAGAACTGAAAAGATTAAAATAAATACTGTATAAACTATAAATATAATTAAAGACTAATGAGTTATGAGTAATGTATTCACTTGTTTGGCCTGTTTAGGATCGCACGATTTGGATCGCACATGGAGTCTCAACTCAATCTCCCTGTCCGTGACTGCATCGTGTTTGCGTTTTAATTCCATTGCCATTTCTTCGATAGGTGGTTTTTGCCCGGCTGAATTCGGCCTCGACAGTGGTACAGGCTTCTTTTTCATTTGCCCTTTCTTCAAAGGAGAGAAGTGGAGGAGAAGTGAAAAAAAATTGAATTCCAATTCATTAATAGCCATATACGTGTTATAAATTACTAAATATTCAACACTATAGCTGGTTAAATCATGTATAGGTATTAGGTATTATAATTTATAAAAACCTTAAATTCCTCGTCTTCGATCTGTCGGTCCCGTAATTTTTTGCGCCACTTTTGCAATTCTTCTTGTTCTTCCTCCAGTTTTTGCTGCTCACGTCTTCGCATTTCTAATTGTAACTCGGAACTGAAGCAAAATTCGACATTTTAACGATAATATTCATAGGTAGGTAAAGAACAAAAGGTGGGACGTAGAGACTACCCAGTGCTTGGAAAGTTGGAAAGATCCTTTAAAAAATTAACTAATTCACGTTCACGCTTATCTTGTTAAAAAGATACTAAATTGTTTCTCGTTCCTAAATATAAAGATCATTTTTCGTTCTTCGATAATTTTAATATTGTGTTAATATAATTGTTTAATTAGATAGTTGTTTTGTTTTTGAAATGTTAATTTGTTTATTTCATACATGTTAAGATCGATAAGACCACCGTGACTGACTTATCATTTTGTAAGACTACCTGTTCAATATTATCGGATATTGCGGTACACTTGTATATTGGTTTAATTATGTATCTCATCATAATATCGATTAAATTTATTATTTTAAGTTTTTCAATTTTTAAAAAATTAAGATACTTGTTTGTTATCGCCCCGCCAGTAAGACGTTAAAAATTGATCTCCCCGCCACTCTTGTTTGCTATTGTCCCGCCATAAATAAAATATATTATAGTATAATAAAATAAAATAAACAATAAAAAAATAAATATAAAAATGTACTGTAATTATAAATTTAAAAAAAAAACTATAAATTTACAAAGGAGGCCAGAACTAAGAAATATCTTTTAATATTGTTTCAAATACATCATTTTTTCCAAGACGTTTTCTCCAAATAAATTCTTCCAAATATGATTCCAGAAAATTTCTATTAGTTCCACGATGCTTTTTATTTCCAAATTAAGCAGATCACCACAACCTCTCGATGTTTTGGGTGTGTGCCCCTGTGTCCGGATCAACAAAATTATACGTGTGGTTAACAGTATTATCCTTGAATCTTGCTGCAAATTATTGTAAGCTTTCAAAAAAAATTACCGACATAATTATTGAGCCTGGCCTTATATATTTTTGTATTATAGGTAGTAATGTTTTCTCCGATCGATCAGGTACACTCACTATAAAACACGCTTTGGTTTCCCGACATATCCCACCGAAAATCTATTGCTGTGGCAGAATACGTCCAGAATTATTTTTCCTACTCACAAATAACTATATGGCGGGGCGATAACAAACAAGTACCAAAATTAATTAAAACCCCTGTATTCAAGAAGAAGTTAATGAAAAAAGGGCAATCACTGGGGTCTGAGACTATACCTCCCCGGCTCCCCCTCCGGAAATTTTTGGTTGTACTCACCTTTTTTTGTAGTACTGCGGAGAAGTCCAATTGGTGAACTTGTTCGAGTTGTTTTCCCACGTCTTGAAGTACTGTGTCACGCCGGCCCATTGCTCTCTAGCTTCGCACTCAGCCGCGCGCTTCTTGTGCAACGCCTCATACATCTTTGCGGCATTCGGCCGACGATTATTGCAGCTCTTTTGGCTCATCTTAAATTGTTTTAAGATTATTTTCGGATTTTGCTTTCACTTGAATCCGTCAACAGCGCCACACTGTGTACACGAAAATAGAAAATCCGCAGTTTTAGCAAGACCAAACGAAACGAAATAAAACCCAATGGCCAATACCTACAACTAATTAAGTACGTACCACGGTACGATAATAGCTATGATTACCTTAAGGCATAAACTATAAGAGTTACCTCTACTTACAATACACACCAACCGCGCCGTGTGATTGAAGAAAAAATAATATAACATGGCCAATGCAATTTAACCTAACTACTATAATATTATACATACATAATAGGACAATAGGTACTACCGTTGCTAGGGCCTAACACCCTAAATCACCCTTATTAGGTAAATAGTTCCTTTAAAAAAAAAAAATGTTTTCACCTATCAATATCACCTATGTATTGATTTTTTTTTGTACATAATTTATTTTTTTTCTGTGACCGAATATCTTTGATTTCAAAGCAGACAGACAATAAAATATCATATCATGCAGGTATCAACAAGCTTGTCAAAATTATCAACAGGTGTTGTGTAAATAATAGTAAATTTTCATCATTATCCACATTCATTAATTAATTATATAAATTTATATTAATTATCTATTACCTAAAATATGATAACCTATGTTTTCACTTCCTACATAATTCTCACTTCTGAAACACTGTTTGTTTTTATTACTGTGACCGGTTGCCATGGCATTAACAAATTATATCTTCATTCCTCTACTCGAGTACTCGATGCTACATAATTTTACACCGTTTACTGGGCAAATTAAGCATTCAAAACATTGTATCGCTGGTATTAATCTTAATATTAGCTAGCTAAACAAATAAACATTTAATATCAACAAACAAATAATATATCAATCATTTAAGAACTATCTGAGAATTTTTAGGTACTTACTAAAATTATCAATATCTAAAACAACTGCATCCAGAAACAATTTAACATCAACAAAAATGTATTAACACGTCATATTGATAGTTAACATATCGAAAATGTACAATTATTAAGTGTTAAATAACTATCAAGTGTAAATTAACTAAAAATATTAATAAAAAAATGAACAACCAAGTCACATATCAATATATCATAAGTAAGTAAACCACTCATTAGATAACATAGAAAAACACTAATAACGGAGAAGGAGGAAAATTAATTAAAAGGTATTATTTTCAATTTAAAACTGTAAAATGTATAATATGTACCTATTGTACCTACAAATAAGTAAAAATTAAAATTAAATGCAGTCGTTAAAAACAACGTTATCAACATTTTAAAAATGACAACAAACTTCTTATCTACAATCCCAAATAAAATAATAACGAACCTAACCTACAAAATAGTTACTCCAAAACATAGATTACAACGATTTATGATATCAATATTCAATGTCAAATGTCAATACTGAATACACCTTAGGTAACAAATTATTGAGGACTCATACCTGATACCTATTGTTCTCAAATTTTAAACCTTGAGGACTACAATTATTTTATGTAAATTACATTAACATTATTTGATTGTATTCTATTCTTCAAGATACAAATCATAATATTAAATATAGCCAGGTTACTGTAGGTACCTTCTACAGTTGTAGATAACTACATTCATCATAATTTTAAACTCCGATAGTGATATAGTCATTTGGATCGCGCAGTCCACAGACTAGAGGTGCGGACACAATATACAAATTCCCGACACCATTCGGATTATGATCAGCGGAATGTTGATTATTATTTTGTATACACTGCCGATTTTTTCATCTGCAAGTAGTACAATAAATAGTAAATTGACGTATCGCGTTATATACCTACGAATGAGAAATATCGAACCATATTTATACGATTTATATCGAAAGGTACCGGCCTCAAATACTTACATACATGCCAGCTATAATTTAATATTATATCGAGTAACGCTGAACCTAAATCACTGTATATAATATTACAACTGCGGAAGCAAAACGTAATGTTTGACACCCAAATGAGTTCTCATAGTTCTATATAATATCGAATCACTAATATTAAAATAAGAGAAAAACGTACTAGATTTAATAATAATTATTATCATCATAAATAAGAAGTTGAGTAGGTACCTACTAATATTGGACTTTTAATATTCGATAAAATAATTATTACCTATATTATTAAATCTACCATCTAAATAACAATAGCCACCATATGTATATTAAATTGAATTAATTAAATCAAAAATATTAGCCCATAACTATATTAATTTTTAAATTGCACGGAATTTGTACTTCATTTGACTTAATGTTATATTTTATTAGCTTATACTTTTATAGTTAAACATAGAAAGGTACTATAGCAGTATAGCCTATATAGGTAGTCTGTTATCGTTGTTATTTGATTAATATTTATTATTTAATTTAAATATATCATAATTTTATTCAATAAACAAAATTTGTTTTCTATAAATGATTTTCTCGTTGCAATTAGGTACTTCTTTTAGACTAGTTACTAAAATGTTGATCAGCTTTAACTGTTGTCGTTAAAAAAAATGGTATGAAGACACTTAAAGACAGATAGAAGCATAAGAAGTTGGTTGTTGGTTTGATGTGTTAGCATTTTAGCACCTTTATCTCCCAAACCCATTTTATCATATTATTTTTAGTAGTAGTAGAAGTAAAATGCACTGAAGTAAAATAACAAAAACTACTCGTTTGAATTTTTTTTCGAAACATCAACATTTTGAGAAAAAATTTAATATCCACCAAATAATTTACTATATAAAAAGGGAATTAACATTTAAAAAACAGAAATTCGTATCTCAACATCCTGCTCATCCAGGGCAAAATAAAATTCTCAAGAATCTTAAAATATGGTGTACGTTTTTTAAGTATATTACAAATTTATAAAATTAATAATTTAGATTAACTGAGTTATTAGCGATAAAATGGGGTGAAATTGATTGCACGGAGAATCCCTGTTTATATGCAAAAACATATATTTTCGATTGACAAAATAACAATATAACATTACACAATATTATAACTTATCATTTTCACTAAATCACTTACCCAACAATGGTTTTGCAGCGGCTAAGCGACTTGTGCACGAAGTCCCGACTATTCGTTTGTCTAAATATTATGATTTATACTTAGATTCTTCCTAAATAGGTATAAAAGAGGCTTCGGCGTTATGAGCCGTCTGGCCGTCGAGCACGATCTGCAACGCTCCTCTGTCTTCCAGTCCGCAGAAAAGGCCAACAAGCTGTGGAAGTTGACTGGTTCTTTCTGACCATTTTTAGCAAACCGACTCCAGTAAAACTGGTAAACGGGGCCCCGCGAGAAAGCCTAGTGAGTCAACGACCTATACCGTCGTTTTTTCCCCTCCGGTGACATAATATATTATACACTGTTGTTCGGCGTTTCTTATGATTTTACCTATTATTTTCAAAAGTCAAAATATAATATACATTAGATAATCGAATAATATGTAATTATAATGATGTTATTAAGTTGCACACTATATTTTAATAGTTTCGACAAAGTATTATAAACTACATAACTTGCAAGCCATCGTGCGGCAATAATTTAATCATGTCGCGTGTATTATATTTCATTATTATTATTATTATTATTATGAGATTATAATGATAATATAATTATAAGTGTTTCAACGAAATTTTGGTTGCATTTTTTAGTTTATCAGAATACAATTTAAGACTTATTATACTAGTTTATAAGTCCAAGAATATACCTACATTCTACAACCTGCCTACTGTATTTATTGATAGGTATACAGTAACTAGTAAGATTCCTATTTATTTATTGCTTACCTTTAGCTATAATTATTAAGTATATTACGAGTAATTGTAAATATTGTTCCTCAATATTACGTAACTATATTTTTTTATTTTTTTATTACTTATAACCTAATTATAATACCTAAACAACTACCTATTATATATGTATATAAGAATTGAGACGTGAACAGATTTTAGTTTATAATTAAGAAAATAGAAACGAAATAAATATATTTAACTAGGCATAAGGCATTTATAATATGAGGCTACAAAAAAAATTAAACAATAGTAATAAATATTGTGTTATAGATTTTAGCTTTGATTTTTGAAAATATTCTTAGGTAGGAACATAAAATTAAATATTATAAGTTGTTAGTGTCCTTTATCTATGATCAGTAGGCAGTAAGCCAAATGAAAAAAGCATTATATTTGAGTACCTATTTATTACTTTTTACTGCACGTACCTAGGTACTAATTTACCATTTTATGAATTAAACATTTTTAATAGGAATGTCAGATTGATATTTTAATCATATCACATTATATTATATTTTAATTTCGAGTTATGTAAAAATATTTCTATGTAAATTGATTATAAAAGAAATTCGATTGTACCTAATAGGTAGTCTTAACTGTAGCCTTCAGCCGTAGCTAGTAGGTATACTACCATAATATGGCTCTATATAAGCTATGTACTGCCTAGCTCGGGCTATATATACATATATTATATATTCATATACAATACGAATTTGCTATAGAGTGGTGTGTTAATGTGTTGTTTTAAAATAGCATAAAATATTTCAACGTATATAAACACGTCAACGGTCAACACTTCGGTTTCTAGTGGCATATGTAGCCGTGTAGATGTATCTCACAAGTAGTCAGTTTTCGGGTCAACCCAAAATTTGCAACATTAAACATAATATTTGCCCCATGAAGGCGCTACATAATAATTACACATGATGGATATAGCGATGATGTGAGTTCACACATAGGTATATTAGGTACTTAGTTATAATTAATTAGGTATATGACTATATTTTTAAGTCCCAGATTTATATACAAATACAGGTTTTTTTAAATATATTTTACACTTGACTCAGACAGATCTGATTAAAAATCTATACGTCTCATAAAGTGTATTCTGATGGATATATTGCAAATTATTTTTGCATACTTTTGCATATTTGAGTCAAAATACATGTTGCTTATTTCTGAATAATTTATTACATAAACAGTAAAGTATAATATTATTATAAATTATAATATTATAATACCTTATAATATTAGATAATTCTTAAAAATACAAACTCATGTTCCGTTCCGTAACAACTATTAAGTAATTATAAAATTTTAAGGTTTAAAAAACAAATTTTATAACTTCAAGTTGAAATTGATTATTACTCATTAGTCATTCTCAAGTTAAAATATTGTTTATATTATTATAAAATTCCAAATGATGTATAAACAATTAATATAAACAATATTATACTAAATTGTCTGAAGAAATAGTTTTTAAACATTTTAGTCAAATGTATTGTTATAGTAATGTAGACATGTAGTACCTATTTTAATTTAAAAAAAATTTAGTTGTACATTTTTAAATATTATAATTTGACTTTATGAAACCCATTTATAAAAATAAATTTACCATTTTTGTTTACTATTATTACAATCATAAAATGTATTTTACAGGATACTACAAGCTCTGTTTCACCATCAGTGCCACCTTCAATATTGTCAATACCTTTCAAACCTAGACAGTATTATGTATTTTTTTTTTTGTAGCTTCTTTCGTTCGCCTCCTCAAACACGAGGAAACAACGTTTTCCCAGCACTCTTTTCGCCAATAGTTTATCAAATACAATTTTCGTTGAAATATTTTTTCGTTTGAAACTCCAAAGTGCTGATATATTTTGACGTATAGTATATAGCTTTTAGGTATACCTAAATTATCTTATTTATTCTTCTATGCGCCAAGGCATGAAGGGACAATATATATATGTATGTATGTTTAGCTCTAGATAATAACCAAAAAGTGGCTTACTACTTATATATATAATGTTTATATAATAGCTATATATATATATATATATATTAATTATTAAGTACTAGCCATCATATTCGTCCGCCCACCGCGGGTTTTAATCCCGCAAAAAGCCAACGCGGAATCGTAAAAATAAACGTACCGTGAACGGCAACGGGCCTTCCGACCGACCCACCGCGCGGACTTTAAATCAAATTATACGGCACCGTGACGTTCGCCAGACTATTAAATGTATTATGGCACAGGGATCGGCCGCGGTTGGGTATTGTCATGTTCTGCACACTTCTGCTGCAGCTGCGGAGATCGCTTTCGTAAACGTTGCAAGGCCGGCATGTCGTCGACGGTCGACGACCATAATTATTAAATCGATTTAAAAATATTATTAAAAATTTTAAAG